TTATCTTTCAAATCTCTATTTCGCACTAAAAAAATCAAATTCAAATAAATCTATTATTTTAATCTAAAACGACTCTCTCTCTCTCTCTCTCTCTCTCTCTCTCTAAATGTTTAACAGCTGCGAGCTGGACTTAAAATAGACCAAGGTTTTCGAAGGTTAGTCCTTAAATAATCCAAGTACAGAGTAACGGTCACTGTGGTGATTTTCCCGCAAAAATCACTGGCTTAATTATTATGAAATGTTCAAGTTCTTCTCTACCCACAATGGAAATCTCCTCCAAATCCTCAAATCCCAATTCAAAAACCAAAAATTCCATATGCACATTGCACATCTTCATAGCCCCAACAAAACCCTAATCACAAACGCCGCAATTCAATTTATCTTGGACGAGTTCAAAGAGCCCGAATCATCAATAGTTTCCGAACCAATAACCCAATTTGCACCCAAAAACAATGTACAAGTGAAACCAAACGGCATAAAAGAGACTGCTGCCGTTCAGATTTCGCATCCGTGGCCTGAATGGGTTGGGTTGATGGAAATGTTGATGAAAAAAGCGTATTTTGAAGGAATTGGAAATCCATTTTCGAATGGTGAAGTGGATGCGACGGGTTCAAATTTTATTCGTACTGCTTGTTTGAATTTCGCTCGTGAACGGTTTGATCTCATCAGGTAACAAGTGACTGAATTGAGTGGAATTTGCTTGGTTATGTGTTTTTATTGTGTTGGATTTGATTTTTTTTCCTTTGTTTTGTTGGTTGTATTGAGTTAAGCTATTAGTTTGAATCTTAGATTGAGTTTTGAATTCTTTGATAGTTGGATATTTTGTGTCTGCATAGAACTTGTTTGATATTGGACCTATGTGAGAGATTTGACTTTCTTTTGGGCAAATTTGGCTAGCATATGGCATGCGGTTAACAGCTAAATGTCAAATTTTACGAAAAGCGCAATGGAGTAGTTTGCCTGACCAAGGACTGTTTCAGGTGACTAAGATTGAGTGTGGTTTTCATTTCATGACTTCCATATTTTTTGTCTGGTGTGTGTTACAGTGGGCAGAACAGATTTTGTGCCTGTTTTGTTTGTTTGTGAACGCAATTGTGTCTAGGTTGTGGGTGGGAAGTGTTACTTTGCAACATTGTACTACCAGGTAAAACATAGGGTTAACCCTGGTAGGTGTTTTTAAGGAGGCAAAGGGGAGCAACCAAGTATGATGTGTTGATAGAGGAGTGCTCATTCCCATACCATTCCAATTGCATAGAACTTAATTTATGTATCCACTATACTAGTCTTATCCTCATTTTCTAAGGAATAGGATCAATTGGATGGACATATTTTTTGGGTTTACTTTGGTTTTGATTGTTCAAGGATAGATGATGGAAGTCAAACCCTGATGCCTACTCCTTAACAGCTCTACCCTTGCCACTGTACCAAGCCACCAGTCCTACTTGGAGAATCTTTACCATCTTTGCATTGAATTAGTTGAAGCCAATCACCGACTGCCTAGGATACATTAAGGGATATTTTTACACCTCACCTGTCCTTGGTGGGATCTCATCAATAACACAAACTTGGATCGTTTTGAAACTAACGGCTTTTTTATTTTATCAATTAAGATCACATTTACTAACACTTTGGAACTCTTTCATAGTGTTTACTCCTGAGGGCTTCTAGCCCTTATTCTTGTCAGCACTAGACCCTTAGTGTTTGCATGAATTAGATTTTCTTGAAGTTTGGTTCTTATTTTTCATATTATACCTTTTGCTACCAGGTACTTGTCTAGAAAAGATATTCAGGTGGTTGCAGAATCAGGATGTCCAAGCATAGATAGGAAAGTTGTCAACTCGGGGAAGCGTTTAAGGGCACATGTGGGCATTAATGAAGGAAATGTATGTGCTAAATAGATTTTTTATTGGGCCTATCAAACTAATAGTTATACATAAAAGTCATAATGGTACACATTCTTATATTTAACAACAGAAGAATTTTCGTAGGTTTGCAGCTCCTGCATTTTGAGGGGAAACTGTGAGAGGGCATATGTCAAGGCCTGTAAGGATGAAGGCGGGCGCACTGTGGATGTCATGCGCTTCTTATTAACATATGGGCTTGATCCCATTACTGGTTCAGTGGAGAACAAGCCTTGCTTAAACAAAAGGGTTAAGGAATCAGTTAGGAGGTTGCTGAAAGAAATGGTGGAGCTTAACACGGAAAAACTTGATGATTTCCCCAAAGCCATTCCCTCCAAATCGAATTCATCTATGCAAGAAATTTCAAGTCACAAAGGACAAAGTCAAATTAATGTTCCAATGAAGCAAGGCGATTGGATGTGCCCCAAGTAATTCGATGTCATATTCCTATTATGTTATAAATATTTTTCATCATTCTCATACGTATTCTCAGTTATTTTTTCTGCTTTTATTGTGGTAGATGCAATTTCCTTAATTTTGCTAGAAATATCAAGTGCTTGCGCTGCAATGGGTTATTCCAAGAAAGACTAAGAAAACTAAGTGAAGATCAGGATCATCTTCCATTAAAGAAGGGAGACTGGATATGTGACAAGTACTGTATCATTTGAATTGAATAATCTTGATCCTATTGTTATATATTCCTAATTGAGGCTTTTAACTACAGATGCAATTTTTTGAATTTTGCAAAGAATTCAAGATGTTTGCAGTGTCAAGAGAAGCCACCAAAGTGGCAACTAAATCCCGGGGAGTGGGAATGTGACTCGTGAGTTCATAGTACAAGTGTATTTTAACTTCTAAGAAACTTATTAGAAATCATTTCAAGTGGACTTATACCTTTTCGTTTTGTGTTGTGATCACAAGAGATGTGTTATTTTGCAGGTGTAACTACATCAATTTCAGAAAAAACATGGTATGCTTGAAATGTGATCATAGACGGCCAAAAGCATTAAAACCTACCGAAAATTCTGCTCAACTACTACATGATGCTGGTGATAATCATCATCCTCAGCCTTACTTTGTACGAGAGAGGCGTAGTGAAGAGGAAGGGGGTGGCAGGTGGAAATTCGTGGAGGATGAAGCTGAAGACACAGGTTGCTCTAAATCATTGAATGAGGTACCAGGGTTTGTTGATTTTCCCATTGCAGGAGGTAAGAGCAAATTGTCTCAAAATGTGCAAAAGCAAGAAAGATGGAAGACGGAAATGGCAGAAAGGAGTAGAAGCAGTGGTAAGGCAAGGGAAAATGTTGATGAATTTAAGTCTGCCTTCATGCAGAAAAGTTGCAAGTTTCTGGAGTCCACTGATGATGAAGAAATGGCTGAGTGGTTTGGGCATGCAAAGGACCCATTATAGAAAGCATTGTATTTGAACCATAAATTTCCAAACAATGATTCAACAGTAATAGAGCAGCAACCTAGTAGTTGAATTGGTTTGCCCTCACCCTATGTAAGGGGATTCTATAGCCCCCAGTTTCCATGAAAAAAAAGGATGCTCATTGAATGAATCTCTACTTATATGACCCCGGATATTCAATTAGATTATTACATTTGTTATCTGGTCTGCTATAAAAAGGGGCTTCATTTATGTTGGTCTTTTACAGGTGATTTGTTTAGGATGCTACCGTTGCTTCTGACCTCTCTCTCTCTCTCTCTCTCTCAAGTAGCCCCAATAGCATGAAAGAGACAAAAAGAATGACACAAGTCGGGAAATAGTCTAAAATAAGGGCAGGATAGAGTCCCCAGAGAGAGCCATGGGATCAATTCTTGCCTCTGAAAATGCTTGTCCCTATTTGCCTAGCTACTAGGAGGAAGGCAACTAAGCAAGTGAAGACAGAAACTACAGCGGGTAAGTGCATCAATTCTTGTTATCGATTGCCGCTTTCTTCTCTGGCTTCTTTCAACAATTAACTCCGATAAGTGCATCGGTTCTTGTTAGCGATTGCCACTTTCTTCTCTGGGTTTCTTTCAACAGTTAACTCCTTCATGCCCCTAGCAGACATATAATACATTCTTACCTATTCTAGTTTATTACCTTCAAGATCATTTCCTTGTTAGGAGTGACCAATTAGATTAGACTTTCTTGATTCAGTAACCGCAATTATGACAGGCCAAGAACAGTTCAATATAGCTATTTAGTCATCCTGTAAGTGAGGATGCGCCAGGAGTAGCTTTGTCATACTCACATGGGTATTAAGTTGATAATGTTGCCACTGATACAATATCCTTTTTATGCCTTCCCATGCTTATAAAAAGGCATTCTAATTTTCTAGTAACAATCACTGCAAAGGGTTATTGATGAATGAAGAGGGTGACTTTTACTGTCCTTTTTCACTCCTTTTGTGCTCAATTTAGTTGAAATAGTCAGGAATAGAACTGAAAATTTGAAAATTGTACAATTAAGAGCCAAATGAGATCAAAACAAACGCAAAAATAGTTGCAAATATTAGGAAAAATGAGACCTCATTTTATTCTTCTTGTTTTATCCTTGCTCATTCATCTCAATAGTCATAATGATGCAGGATAGTGTGACTAAAGAAAAAAGATCAAACAATAGAAACTATCTATTGATTATCACAATAATATCAAATGACAGTCTTTAAGAACTTTACTAATTCCTAAGAATACTAAGCCAAAAAGAGAACTTGTCTCTAAGTTTTAGTCAAAATAAACCAAAACTGTTGAATTAGTTTTCAACACAATATAAATAAGAAATACTAATAGTCTTAAATTACTAAAAAAACTAAACAAATACACAATATTATGAAAATACTCCAAACAACAGGATAAAAATAGAAAAATGCCTAAAAAGTGTCTTAAACATCGTTTTTTTTGGCTAAAACTCGCCTAGGTTGAAGACAAAAGACTTCAATCTTGCTTAGATCATCAAGTTCTTTCCGGAATGGAGTCTTATGAAATTTTTTTACACTATCGCCCAAAATCAACCTACTTTTGATAGTCTTGATCTGTCCAGTAATCTTCTGCTATACATTCTACATCACATTAGCATGGAGATAGAACTAGAAACTTCATTAATTCACTTTATATATAATCAAGGCAAGTAGCACAAACTTTAATGCGTCTGATTCCAAGAGAGTTTTGTTCTAACCATGAAGTCCTTTAAAGAACTTACAAGGGCATTACACTTATCAAATGAGCCATTGTTTGATAATCTTTTGAGCATGCCAAAATATGTATCTTCTATACAAATCATACGGATGATTCATTAGTTTCTTGTTTATCAAGTTCTGACTCTTCCTTGCTTGAGACTCTGTAGTAATTCGTCAAGGTCTTGCCATCCAACTCCTTCGTGAAGAATCTTGTCATGAAGTCTGAGAACATGAATTGCTGGTACATAGCTGGTTTCTCAGGCGACACTAGTCCCGGCAATGGCCCATACAACTTGTCTCTCATGCTAGGGTTGAAGAAAACTGCAATTGAGACACGCGGTTCATGAGAGGGGTTGGCCAATACACGATGCTCCACGCTTTTGTACTCATCATTGGCCATGATCTGCAAAAGAGAGTTGAGCAATTCCGTGAATTGCATTCTTTGGCAAAATGATGAAAATTCAAACAGACAAGTTGTTTGAAAATAAATAAATAATAAAATAAAATCAATTGATTGGCTAAACTGAGGAACTAAAAATTTAGAAAACATGAAATATGTAAAAAATTTCAGAAACCCAAAATTACCCATAAATACAAATATTGAACAAGCCGGAATTTAGAATATGAAAATTTAATACTTCAAAGCACGTTGAATGTTTGAAAGATGCGGTGTACTTGTTGAATTCGTGCCCAAAACAAATTGGAATAAAAAACAATGAAATGTATGAAGTGGGCAGGAATGGAGTCAGAATTTTATTTTAGTGGAGATAACCTTAAATTCTTAAATTGAAACTATAAATATGAGATTGTTTCATCAAAATGTATATTCTTAATAAAAAAAACTATGTATAGTTCTATCAAAAAAATTGTTATTTAGATGCTCAACTCATATATAAGAGCAATGTATAAAAAAATACAACAAAAAAGATTTCATATCAAAAGAACATCTATTTCTTGACTAAGAGAAAGTTGCTCTAGTGTTAATTTTCTTACAAGAAACCTATCCATAACTGATAAAAAAATAAATTTGTCTAATTAGACTCAAATTTAATAGTAGTCATTAAATTCGTAACTAATGACATAATGTACTATACATAATCAAAATATAATCCATAAATCCACAATAATATAATTCATAAATTCACAATACTTGTATGTATTTGTTGCTGAAATTTTAGATCTAGTTCCCTTGTATCTAGGCCTTGTTGTACTAAATTTTTAATTGAAATAAACAAATTTTTGGAATGGTATTTGTGTGATTCACTGCAAAAATTGTTAGTCTTGTTCATGCTTTACTTTTTGTTGAAATTAAAGTGATACACTATAGCAAAAATCAGCCACTATTTTATTTTTCTTTGAGTCTTGCTCTTGTGGTTTTGGTGAGATGATTGATACTATATACTTAAATACCAATAACCAAGTAAGTTAATTTGTTGATGATTTTACCAAGCCGATTTGTTGATGAATTTATATAAGTTTCTAAGAAATCAAAGAAATATAAGAAGTGAGGACTGATGGAGAAAGGGCATGAAATGACTGAACTCCCAAAGTTATGTTTAATGGTTTGAAAATTATACTAACCTCACCTATGCTTAATGAAAATTTTAGTGGGGTAAGATTTAGAAACTTTAGAAGTTTTTAAAAATTCATCTAGATCCCAAATTTTTTAAAAATCCCAGCCAATGCTGAGCATATAAGTCCCCGGGTGAAGCTAAATGGAAAAACAAACATGAAGAAACTACGTATTTTGCTAATGGTGAGTGAGCACTCAGTTCCACTTGTAGGTGGTTGTAGGCCGTAACCTCGTCTCTCCCTTTGATGCAGAAAATTGAAAGTTGATAAATTAATAGGAGTCTTTTGATAATATTTTTGTTTTTGTGTTTTCAAAAAAATAAAAAAAATAGAGACAATTTTTATTTTATTTTGTGATAAACACTAAAAATATAAAAAGAATCATTTTTGTTTATGGGATTATGAGAATAAAAACTAAATTCATCCATAATATATTCGCAAATTCACCTAGAATATACACTCACAAAGACTCTGCTGGTTCAACACGCACACACACAGAATGCACACAGACGGGGACAGAAGAGAATTTGTTTAGGGGAAATCGAGTCACGATCAACACCCGCACACAGAAATCACTCCCAAACCCAGAAGACAACACTCACAAATGCCCAAACCCGAAATCAACACCCACACACGCCCAAACCCAGAAATCCAGAAATCACGATCAACACCGACTAGCGGCCAAACCTATAAATCAACACCCCACACACAAGTCTAATTCAGACGGAGGTGCGGAAGAGGCAGCGATGAAATCAAGTCACGATCGAACAAAGCTGTGAGCGACGATTGCTGGAGAAGAGACGATCGCCGATGGAGGTCTCCGGTTTTCGTTGAATGGACAGAGACAATGGATTGAGGAGAGACAGAGAGGCGATGGAGAGCGAGAGCGAGGTACGAATCAAAAACATCAACCAAACGCACTCTACTTATTTTGTTTTTCACCATTTTGTTAGACAAATAATTATTTACCTTTTGACAGAAAACCAAGTTGTTGATCTACTTTGAACTTGAAGACTTGTGGGTAAGAACAAGTCTGGCATACAAATCGAAGAAACTAGCCCAAGAGTATTGATCACATAAAGTGAATGCTTAAAACACACATCTGTTAGACAGGGAGTCAGGACTTACCTGAAGAATATCACCAATGTTGATAATTAGACCACCGGGGACAGGGTCCACGTCAATCCAATCCTCACCAAACTTCACCTGCAACCCCGCAACCTCATTCTGCAACACTACTGTCAACACCCCGGGATCTGTATGAGATGTCAGGCCAACCGTCAAGTCCGCCTGTGGACAGTATGGATAGTAATGAGCCGCCATAGTCCTGGCATCCAAACACGACATATCTTTTAACCTATCTCTTTCCATCCCCAACCCCTCACTCAACAATCCCATCAACTCCTCTCCCAATTTTATCACCCCTCTATCCCACTCCTCTACCGCTTCCCTGCACAACTCCGGAACATAGTCCCACTCCGGAGGTGTGGGGCCTAGCCGGACCTGTAGTGTGTCCCTCCAGCTGGCAGCTTTGGACTTGTACAGATCAAAGTTGGTAGAGTAGGCTACACCATGGGATGCCTCCCGAGTATAGTAATGGATTCTAGTGGTCTCTGGTAATTCGAAGAAGGCCTTGATAGATGAAAGCATTTGATCCAGAACCTTTTTGGGTATCCCGTGGTTGATTATCTGGAAGAACCCATGAGTCGAAGAGGAGTGACGGATTTGATCAACCACCGCTGATCGGTGGCCGGAGAGGTCGATGATGGGGATCGAGAGTTTGGATTTTTGGGTTTTGGGTTTTGGGGTGGGTAGGTTTTCAGGGGGGTGGTGGAAGAAGCGAGGGATGGCGGTGAGGCCGGTGTCAACTAGGCCTTTGACACCAATCTTGGATTCATCGAACTGCTTTATTTCTTCAAGTCTGTCATAGTGGTGGTCTGTGTTGGTGTTGATAGTGGTAGCCATTTCTATCGTCTTTCTCTCGGTAGCATAAAGACGAAAACTGTTCCTGCTTAGTTTGTTCTTTCGTTTGGAAAAGAAATCAGGGGAAATGATCGCCGCTGATGGTTGGGGTGGGAGAAGTTGGTGGGTAAGGGAAGGCCGGCATAGTCAAATGTTTGAATTCTCAATTTATAAAATTAATGTTAAGATCCTTTATTTATTTTAATCTAATAACATTAAATTCATCTAAAAATTATTATTTTTTATATATAATTTATAATATAAAATATGACAAATTTTAATAAGTTCATCCGATAATCTTAAATAGACTCATCAAATGGCCATTAATATCACTTTTCAAATCATTCATATTACACCGTACTTTTAAATACAATTTATCCTTAGTCCCTAATATTAGATACCTCAATTAATAGATCGACACACTTCTCAATACCAAAAATTTTCATAAATTCAAACTTCCCTTTCTTTTCTCTCTCTTTATTTTAACTTTAAAATACATAATTTTAAAAATTAAATTATTAATTAAAATATAAATATTATAAAATTAAGTTTAATTTTTTTATATTATATAGTATTTTTAGAAACAAAGTTATTGCTATTATATATAATAACTAGTAATAATTCGTACTTGAAGACACGATAAAATATAAAATTTGAGCGTCCAAAAAATCGATCAAACTATATTAAATTTTTTCAAAATATATTAACTACAAATTATAATTAAATATTAAATAATTAAATATATGATAGAAACGAATGATGTGATATTTTTAAGGAGAAAATATATAAATGATTAAACATGTAATAAAAATGAGTGATACAATTTGACGTTTGAATTTGACAAAGAGATGATAGGTGAGATATGTAATTGATAATAATTTTGAAAAAAAAAATATTATTAAAATAAAATTTAAACACACTTCTATTTTATTATAAAAATTATTCATCGTCTGGGCGTTACTCTTTTGGGGCGGACAAGAGGGGAAGGCGCTTTCTAGATACGAAATAGAAAGAAAGACTTCCAATAAAACAAGGACGATTACTCTCTGATATGGACGGCTGTTGACTATTGAGGTTTACAAACTTGAAACTTCGACGAGAGACAGAAAAAGAGAGACAGAGAACAACCAAGCCACGATCAACTATCAATAAAAGGTTCTATTGATATGCTTAAACGGAATCTGGTCCCTCAAATTTGGATTTTTGTTGTAAATCCCCACATGCCTCTTTTTTTATATAGTAAAACAATTATTTTGAAATATTCATATATGTAAATGATGTAAGTATAAATTATATAGATCGTAAGAGTAGAAATAAAAATGTTATGCGAGATAATAGGTTGTGTAATAGCAGTTAAAAAGTATTCTAGAGTTAATGAATATTATAGATAGAATTTGAGTAGGAAAGAATTTGACACTGTCTTAATATTTGGATCACAACTTTTTACTCCGATGTTCATTTGATCTGAAATTTTTACAGTAGACATTAGATTTCCAGGACTACAAAAGTGTATTTTATGAAAAATTTTCAAATCGACCTTTAAATAGGGCAAAATTTCTTTAAAAATTCAGCTAACAATGGAAGTTCGTTCGAACGTGAGGATCCGTTCGAATGACAGTTAGTCCTAGTACTTTTGTGTCTTACATAAATTTGATGGAAAAACAAAAATACTGGGAGCAAGCAACGTTCGAATGCCAAATGACATTCGAACATCAAGCCCTAGTTCGAACGTATGAGTATCAGATTTGCACCAATTGGACTGTTTTCTTATCCTATAAATACCCAATGATGTTTTCCTTAGCCCTATTTCATCAATCTTAACCCTAGAGAGCCTTGAAAAGCAAGAAAAAAGAGGAGAAACACAAGATTAAGGGAGAATTTTCACCGTGAGACGGATCAAATACGCTAGGTTTTCACACAAAAACTACGGAATCGATATAAGAGATTCTTCTTGAGTTTTTTCATTGAAACTTAGGGTATAATTATGTATGTTTTCAATCTTCTTGATAATTATATGATAGATACATATGTTCTTGGTTTCTTTATCATTGAAACATAATCTTGAACAAAATATATGTTTGAGTTCAAGGAATAATTGTTCTTGAATTTTTAAAACCCTAGTTTTTCTAAAATACATGCTCTATTGTGAAATTCATATGAATTCTTGATTTCTAAATTCCCATTCTTGATTAAATCATGTTTTTATTTAATACTTATTCTTGTTCCAAGAAATCTTGACTTTTGGCAAAACTCTAGAATTTTGATATTGAATTTGTGAATGTTTTTTTTGAGATGATCTCTTGTATATTTTAATTCCTTATTACTGTAGTATATTGAGAATTGCGAAATTGTGATATTTAAATTGTTAATAAAAATTCTGATTGATTAAGATTGTGGGTGTTGAAAAAATTGTGGTTTTCATCTCTTCTATGGTTTGAGTGTGATGGAATTGAATCGCCTTCGAGAGTTGTCGTAGAGTGTTAGAGGTTAGTCTATCCCAGTGAGGGTGATATGGTTGTCTAACACTTATAGTGGATTGTTGTTTGTGAGACCAATCACTATTGTTCACGTAGGTTCGATGTTGAGGGATGGTATACCTTTTCTAAGAAAGATTTGTCAATGCTGTGGGAGACGGTATACGCCCCTTCTTAAAGTGGTTTATAATTTGGTCTTGCGGGGAATGATTGAGATTGTTTGGTTTGTGGTGGATGAACGAGGTAGAATCGTTGTGTAGATTCCTGAAAAGCAACCAACATATATGACAATGAGGATGAACCAATATACATGAGAATATGAAATGATGTTACTGAGTTATTTATTCATTTCTTTAATTTTTTGCAAGTTTATTCCTGTCATTGATTTACTGTATTTTGTACACTCTAGATCATTACAATTGTCATGATTTTATTCTCAAAATTTATATATGTTATTTTTTAAAAGAGACTTGTCATCTTTTCTTATTTTTAAATCTTGTTAGAATTTGAGAGGAATTTTTTACGGGCTTTTGCTCACCCCCTATAGCACATTACTAATTTTGGTAACGAGGAGGATGTCGAGTTAGATGAGCAGAATGATCTCGAGACTGAAGAGGGTAAGTATGATGATTCTGAAATGGAGGCTTGTAGATGCTTCGTTTTAGTGCTGATTATTGTATTTAGAGAGATTTTTGTTAAACAATGTTTCAATTAGTTTTATTATTCTACTACTAGAAATTCTTTGATTTTGGATTGTAAGTTGGAGAAGTTTCAATGTTTTGTTGGTTTTAGTATTTATTCTTTGTCAGGTAGATGAATTGTTTATTATCTCGGGTTATTTTTAGTTGTTTTTATGGTTGAATGATTTGTATATAATAATGTCTTCTAGGATAGATTTTGGGGCGTTACATTTGTCAAGTTGGGTAAGTATGATAATTATTTCAGGTCTTACCAAAAAAATAAAAGGGGATTTAACGATTGGTATAAAGTTAAGAATTTTTTTGCTTTTAGATCCGGCCTAAATATTTTTGAGTTTAAAGGTTCATAAAATCAACAATTAATAAAAATACCCTTAATGAAAAAAATTATTTAAAAATCTACACCATTATTTCATACTTATATAACTATCAATGCATGACGCGCATTGCATGTAAATAAATTTAAATAATATTTTTTTATAAATTTTTTTGAATTATATGTGTAATTAAATTAAATAATAAATTAAAAGTCGAATAATTAATTTATATTTTAATTGTTACTAAATTTAATTATTAATTTATTCTATAAAATTTTGAGTACCTAAATTATCATTTATTTATGTATCTTTCCGACCTTTTTAGGCATTTGGACACTAATTATATTCTATAATTATTATTTTTTATTTTTTTAAATAGATTGATTAAATTGCTTATAATACTATTCTATTATTGCATACCAAAAAATAAAATATAATATATATTTGACCATGAAATTCAATCTGATAACTATATTTATATAATAATTTAACATATACATACGATTTTACTTCTTCGTATAGATATAGAAAATTGTATGTAACTGTACAAGTAATAAATGAATTCAAAAGAAATTTAGAAATTCTTATAAAAGAGTCCAGAATAAGTTAAACGTCAAATATGAGTAAAAATCAAAAATTAAATGAAAGTATATATATTAGTGATTATAATTAACTTCATTATAATAATTAGGGTTAAATTAAGAAATCAAAAGTTTTTCATTTACTTCTATATAGATATAGAAAATTGTACGTAAATGTACTACTAATAAATGAGTTCAAAAGAATTTAAAAATTTTTATAAAAGAGTTCAAAAAAAATTAAAAGTCAAATATGAATAAAAAAATAAAAATTTGATGAAAGTCTATATATTAGTGGGTATAATTGACTTTATTGTAACAATGAAGGTTAAAATAGAAAATCAAAAATTTTTCGCAGATTCTGGCATTTATAAGTAGTATAAATATAAGAAAATTTTTATCCACACCCCCTATAATTAAATCTAAATTTAATGACACCCCCTCTCGATTCTGAAATTTTACTGTCATTCCCTGTCAAGGTTTTGTCAGATTACGGCATTAACGTCGATTGCTAATTTACAAAAATACCCCTGAATATTTTATAGGATAAATTTTATCCACATTCCCTTATAAATTGACATAACTTCGATGACCCCCTTGTAAATAGACATAACTTCAACGACACTCTCTATAAATAGACCTATATTTAACAATACCCGCTCCTGATTCTAAAATTTCAATGCTCTCCCTTTTAGTTCTATTTTTTTATTTTTACATTCATCAATATAATATTTAATTTTATCAAATTAATGTCATTGATTTAATTTAAATCCATCTCATCAAATCAACACAAATTGATATTTAATTTTATCAAGTTAGCATTTAGATATATTAATTTAATATTTTATTTCATCATAATAATATTATTTCTTTAATTTAATATTAAATTATTATTTAATTTTATCAAATCAACACTAAATTGACATTTAATTTTATTAAATTAAAATTTAATATATTAAATAGAATATTAAATTCTATTAATTTAACATTTAACCTTATCAAATTAATGTCAGTTATTTAATTTAACACCAAATGAACATTGAATTTCATTAATGCAACATTTAAATTTATTCAAGTAACATTAAATTTTGTCAAATCAACAATGTATTAATATTTAATTTTATCAAATTAAAACTACATTAAATATTTAAATTTATCATATTAAGACCAAATTTATTAATTAATATTAAATTTTATATATTAAGGGTGATATATGAAGATTGGTCATGTGACGTTGTAGAGGACAGACAATAGTAGAGAAGTTAGAAATAGATGAAATTTTTACATTGACTTTATTGATTGTAATTTGATTATAAAAAAATTATTTTTAACAATAAAATAAATTTAAAACCCTGTAATTTATAATGAACAACAAAAAACATACCATAGAAGGAACTTAGCTAATATAAGAAAATAAGAAATCGAAAAGTGTACCACTTACCAAACAACTCATAAAAAAATGGACTTAATGACTTAAAAGTTTAACGAGTGTTTAGATGAAAAAAATGTAAAAAAAATTTGCACGAAAAAAATAAAAAAAAATTGCATGAAAAATTTTAAAAAAAACTGCATGAATTTTTTTAAAAAAAACTGCATGAATTTTTTTAAAAAAATCTGTAAGAATTTTTTTTTTTTTTTACCAACTTAGGTAGTGATCGATCACTGTGGAGAATGAGTTGAAGAATTGGCTTTAGTCCCCCTATGTTTTCCAACAACCCCATATCGTTTTGGATCTTCACAAACAACAAAAAATGTGGTATATATAGTGGGAAAAGAGTTGAGAGAATTTTAGTATATTTACATACGGAAGGTTAGTTTTGACATTTTCAAAATATTTATAGTTAAATCGTTAATTTTTGTAGTGCCAAAGTTAAAAATTATCGTTAAGGGGGCATATTTGATTTGAAAGCATAAACTAAAAAAAGTGCAATGAAGTTTCAGAATCAGAAATGGATGTCATTGAATTTAGACATAACTAGAGAGGATGTGGATGCACTTTTGTGAGATCCCATGTGTTATATAAATATAAATGATATTAAATTGCTAGTATTTTTAAAATAATTAAAATGATGAGAGAAACTTTGAATCGTTGTTAAAAGAATAGTCGCGTAAGCTTGAAGTACGAACGTATTGATTTTTGTGTCAAATTTAATTTTTGGAGGTGTTTAAGGTTGATAAGGGTAATTAAGTAAACATATTAATATTTTTAGGTCAAAATAATATTACCATTGAATCCGAGAGATCCGAAAAACTTGGAATATACGTTTAGCTCATATAGCGGTTAGAAGGGATAAAATAGTAATTTTGTGTTTCGGAGTAAATTAACTTTAGTTTTGAGATAAATCATAAAATTAAATATTTTTAGGTTAAAATAACATTAAAAATGAATCTGGAACGTCGAAAAACTTTAGAGTAGTCATATGGATCAAGAATATTTAGTGGTAAATCCGTAATTTTAGAGAAAATCTAAATTTCAGCCTATGAACAGTAAAAATTCGGGAACTGCTGTTTTTAAAACACAGATTTCAGTTCATTTTCTTCCATTTTTTCATTCCACTATCACCCAAAATCTATTAGAACCCTAGGAGAAGATAAAGAGAAAGAGAAAAAGGAAGAAGAAAGTCTCAAAAGCTTAGGTCTTGCTTGGAAATTCTAAGAACTTAATTTGGAATTCTTGAGTTCTAGGTGGGGTTTTCCTCTCTCTTGCATTTACATTGTGAATCTCATTTATTTTCTTTAGCTAAAGCTTACTATGTGTTTGATAGCAAAATACTTGTTATAAACCTTAATTTAGTGTTAAATATACCATGGATTGTGAACCTATATGCATAAAAATGATTTTTGTGTTATGGGTTTAAAAACTTAGTTTGATTTTAGTTATGAGTATTTGATTAAACCTATGATTTTTGGGTTTAGAAGTATCCTATGACCTTGTATATAATATATATTACATTTTCTCTTGGAAATAAAAATAATTTTGTGGTGGGTTTGAAACTCTAATTTGATTTTAGTTATGTGTATTTGATAAAACTTATGATTTGGGGGTTTTTAAGTATGCTATGATTTTGTACATAATATATATAACTTATTCTCTTAGATTTGATTGTGTTGCTTTGAAAATACAAATTTTGAGATTTGAGTATATTATATGTTTGATAAAATGTCAAGGTTATGACATGAGTTTTCAAAAGGATTTATGAATATAGAAAATAATAATTTTTAGAAAATGTATGCTCGATACTGACAGACAGAGAGTTAGTAACGGTTGGGCCTATGGAGTGAGTTGGCAAGACGGCTACTAATCTTAAAGGGGATTGGTTATGGTAGTGATTTTCGGTGATGACCTATGTGATGTCACAAGTTGTGCTCTACACATTCCCCTTAAAAAGCAAGAAGGGTGATGAGACCCTAGGGTGCAAGACCCAAAAGGTTCCTCGGGGATGGTTCATGCGTGAACCGGTGTGATTGATTATATTGTCCGTATGTGAGACAATATAAAATATAAAATGGTAAAAATTGATTTAATTTTCATTTATTTTGATTCAATGGTACAAAATTTATCTAAAAAAAAAATTTCCACTCAAAAATCATCTTTTTTACACGCCCCAAATGTTAGACAATTTAACAAACATACTCTCTAAATGCCAAATAATCTCATTAATTTATACCTTTTTCTCTCACTTACCTCTCTTTTATTTTTTTGTCTATTCACTTTAGTTTTAAATTATATAATTAAATAAAAATTAAGTTATTATTTAGAATATAAATATTGTAAGATTAATTTTTAATATTTTTATATTATAATATTTTTAGACAAAATATTTTTACTAATATTAAATAAAATGTTTGTCGTCAATTCAATACAAAATTGACTTAAAATTACCTCATATAGGTTTGTTATTAACGGTTTGAGTTATGTTTAGTCATGCTCACTTAATGAATGATTTGTATATATGTTAAGCAAATCTTGATACGACGGTACTAATCTGACTCAATATGATACTATATTTAGGCAAAGCTATTGAACATATATTTAGTCTTAAAATGTGCAAAATCATAATCAACTTAACTCATTAAAACTTACTCAATGAGTAAGTCGAGCTACACTTGATATGATACGATTTTCACGTTCGGATTTCTTGCACCACACAATTCATTACTAGCCTCAAGTATTCCAAGTAATAAGTTTGTTACCAAAATTTATAAGATGATGCCGGTTGTATATAATTCCAATGCATTAGTGAAAGATTATCATTGTCAATTAAACAAACTTTTGGTGTTTTGAATTGTGTGTCTTTAGTTGGAATAAGTGGCTGAGCTATAACGGGGGAGGTAACGTTTTTTTTTAGTTCAATAGTCAGGGGTATACAGGTCAGATTACGTACATCTTGATTAATTTTCTCTCCAATCTGATGAAAGACACATTATTCACGTCGGGACTAAGATATTTATGAAGAATAAATTTTTCATGGCCTGACTACAAGGAATTGCCAAGATTCAAACATGGAATGTCTGAGCTTACAACTTGTCCCAATTATTACTTAAGCTACCCCAAGATTCCTAGGCTTCTAAATTTTCATTTTCATCCCCATGGAAAATGTTTCAATGGGTGGTGTATTTTTTTCACTCTTTCTTGGGACTCTTGTGATGGTATTTCATGCCTAATCTTATAGAGTTCATCAATTCGTAGTTTACTATAATTTTTTTTTTTACTTGTTGATTTAGACCACATTTGGCAACAGGCCTTGCTCACTTTCAAGAGTGATATACTCAAGTTACATAGAACTGATCAGCCTATATAATCAAAGAATTGGCATGTGATAAAAATAATCTTATTATTTATCTTATAAAAATTAAAAGTCGTACTCATTTTACTAGACTATATATATATACACACACACATATACGTACATACAATAATTGCTATATTGCACTAAAAAAGTTGTTATATACAGTAGTTATGTTACTGTGTCTGTCGTTGTATCACTACTAATGTGTTGTTGTGGCTGTCATTGTGGATATCACGAATATCGTAGTAGAAGATTGCTATATATGGTGGTAGTGTCATTGTGGCTGTATCTGTGAGCATGTGGATGTGTTGATATGTCATCGTAGATATCACTTTGTCGTTATGATTTTGTCATCGTGATTGTCATCGTGTGTATGTGCCAATGTGGATGTGTTGATGTGTCACTCTGGCTGTGTCATTGTGGCTATCACTATGTCGCTATGAATGTGTCACTGTGGCGGTCATCGTGTGTGTGTGAATATATATAAGGTGAGATGTGAGAGATACTAGGAAGAAGAGAGAGGAGAGAGAAAATATATATTCAATTGAACAATCATGTAATTACAGGACAACAATATGCCTGATCAGCTCAGGGTCAAAATAGGAAAAAAAAAAAAAAAAGATCCTACCAATCTGTTTATCAGATAGTGCATATCATGTGTCCTTAATGACTCAATTAGTTCGCGCATGTATTTATTGGCAGAATAGATTATCATTTTAGACTTGTTTATAATATCGACATAGGGTTTTTGGTGGCCGGTCCTATGCGGTGATCTTTTAAGTCATAAGTTCCAGACATTTTTCTTTCGGGTTTTAAAGGAAATATCCATTTCAAAAGATCCATTTAGTATTATTTAAATAAAAAAAATTTAATAATATCCACATATGTATATGCTTGAAATTGTGCAATTCAAAAAAAAAAAAAAAGCTTACATTATTTTTGAAAACAAAATAATCAAACACTTAACATAGACACGCTAGAAATAAACAAACACTGAATATTATTTGTTAACACGAAATAATCAAATATTAAACTTGGACCGACACTAAATTTAAGCCTAAAATGCATCCTTTAATACATTCGCATTTTACATAAATGATTAACAAAGTATTACATATATGAAAAATAAAAATTCTAATAATAAATTACGACTACGTAAAGTGCTACTAATAGAAGGCAAACATTGTAATAAACACCATTACAATTCAAACAAAGATGCCAAGCATTAGACACATGATTCAAGACACCACTTCAACAGGCTCAAAACCCTTCTCACTTGATGCCATGACACCATCCATCGCCAGTTGTGTCTTTCTACTAATGGTAGGCCAATTCTTCTTAGGTGACACACCTTTTTTTGTTAATACCAGCAACCAAAATAGCAAACTCCCGCACCATGAGGGCTTCCAGAGGAAGATCTGTATCGATCACATGCTCACTTGGTACAGGTTCAATCCCTATAGAGAGTTTTGCAAACCTCGAGTTTGAGGCTTCATAAAATGGTGCACCTTTCTCTTGAAAAGGAATAACAAAGTCATGCACACGCAGATATCCATTTGTTCCAAGAGCTGTTATGTCCATGGTCAAATTAGTTAGGAAAGGGCAATAGAAGGTTGTTGTTTTCCCATCTGTCCAGCGTAATAAAGCACCGCAAGATAGAATCACACATGCTTCATTGTATTCAGGCTAAGGCAAAGTCGTTGCTGTTTTAGGCAGTTCATATTCATTAGCCCATAAGATTGCCCTGGTGCAGTACCACCCAGTATCATCCAAAACTCCAAGAGCATCAAAATCAGGTTTAATGCGAATGTCATTCTTGAGAAATTCTGGACCAATAACTAAAAATGTTGTGTATCTGCAGTAAAAAATTAGCCAAAAATCGTCTTCATAACATATATAGCAAACCCCAACAAAATGTTGAACATTCAATTATGTATTTACCTAACTGGGGAAAGAAGACATGGAAGATGTGAGTAACCTATTCTTTTAACCAATCTATGAATTCAGATTTCATTTTTGTGTTGCTTAGGCTTGAAATCTTAGTCTGTTGCATATGATTAACGCAATAATAGTTCTTAGAATTACTTTGTTAAATCATTTCTAATAACTGCATATAAGGATAGAAACAAAAGTGGACATGTGCTAGCAAACGAATTGAAAAGTCTATCCTCACCATCAGAACATGATCATCCCCTCACCCTGTCTTAGAACCACTCTTGACAATTGATGATACCACTGCTATGAAAATGAAACAAAATTAATAAAACAAAATCTTAACGAAGGGAAATAAGAAGAACAACAATGCAAAGACGACATACACTTGCCCCAAGCAATCTAAATCACAAACAGTAAGTACATACATCATAGCCAAGCCAAATTCACCAAGGGAGGGAGAGAGACCAAGAAATACCAAGAATCAACTTAATAAGAGCACAAATATAACTATGAACACCACCACCACAGAACAGCTGGTTATGACAAACCTAAAAGCAGAAAAATCAATACCGCATATAAACTATATGTATCAACCAAAAAAAAATACACAGAGAAATAAAAATAACTATGAACACCAGCTGCAGTGGGAAACAAACTGCATTACAATTTACATACATAAATGTGATTGAGAGAGAGAGAGACAGAGAGAATGAGATCCCATGTGATCGAGAGAGAGAGTGAGATCCCATGTTTCCCCAATTATCCACAGCACAAAATTAATAACCAATATCCATAAACTATATTCCACCATCAATAACCAAATTTAAACGAACACTTGACAATAAATTTCACAAAAGTAACCTTCCATAAACTACCGAAATTTTACAAAATTTCAACAATCTAAAAAACTTAGTGTTTTGTGTGCACGTGTTTGCCTGATGTGTTATGTGTGTGTGTGTGTTTTGTGTTGTCTGAGTGTGTAGCGGAGAGGAGAGGAGGGGATGGGTATTTTGGGTAGGGTTGGGTTGCGTAGAATATTTTAATAAAAAAAATCACAGTAAATAAATAAAATTAGAAACAAAAATGAGACAAATTAGATACAGTTATAAAAGAAGAAGAGGAAAGGAAAATCCCAAAATTTTCTCCATTTTACCATAAAAAATAGTAGTCACAAAAGATCAACACACACACATACAGAAAGAACTTTACAGTGTTTTTTGTGATTGTGTCGTGGACGAAAGTGCTGACTCACTTTGCCTTCTTTCTATAGATGTTACTAAAAAAGAAAGGAGTAAAATTTCAAATCATTGAAGCAAAACAACAAACATCTTGTCTTAACTACCATAAACTATATTTAGTGGAAATTATGTTCATCTCCCCTAAATGTCACCATGCAAAAGAGGGAAGAGAGAGAGAGAGAGAGAGACTTTTGAAATATTCTATTTTTTAATCGGTTAATTCAAGTATAAAAAAACTAAGTACACAAAATGATGCCCGAAAATTCTACTTGGCGCCATGGAAGCAAAAACAGTGTATATAGTTTACACCATGAAATTTTACATCAAATAAAGTTTAATAAAAAAACTCACAATCTCAAATTTTAGATCCCACAAAACTCAAATAAAATCGAATCGTAGCAAAATTTAAATCAAACCAAACATAGATTTGCATCAAATAAAACCTAATTAGAAAACTCACATCAAATCGAATCTAAAGTAATAAGCACAACTTTCAAACAATTTGGGCCTACTATATAATTCAAACCAAACACGACAATTCCTAATTCCAAATTCCGATAACATAATCCATATTCTGTTGCGATAGGGATAGAAGGAGCTCAAAGCCATAATGCAGTAAATCCATTTAATTTTTTCCTAATATTTCTTATTCACATAATTTCTCTAAAAATATACCCTCAAAAATAATATCAACCTATGTATATAATTTTTGTAATGATAACATCAATGGTTAGTACTTGGTAAATGTCTGTTTTTTCTTAAGAAATCACATCCCAAACCAACTATTGGACTCACCATTTTTCCATAGTCCTACATTAATACAACCATTTACCAACTAATGCAACATGTCTAAAATATCATATTTGAACAATGTCCAACTCATACCTAAAATCTTGGCAATAGTACTCCTTGACAATTTCAATCATGCTAAGATGTCTTAACTACAAAAGATTGTCTTCCTCAGTATTCTCCAAATTGCAACAATTGTGTTGCTTGCGATTTATACGACCCCTGTAATCATAAAGAAACAGAACTTTAAATAACAACAAAAATTTTAAAAATTGAGAACTTGATAATTGAGGTATTTTACAGAGAAAGTGTGGTACTTCTTTCATATTTTTATTTCAATATGATACAATTTCTCTTTACTGGAATCAATGTAAAAAATTAAGGAATCCAAATGCAAAGTAACGAAAAGGGAAAAAAAGGAAGAGTGTAAAAAATATTTTTTCTTTTGCGCCGCCATAAAAAACATTTCCAAGATGCCTTTTAGAAAGGCAACCCTTTGTCAAATCAAGGTCACTCTAAATCCTCTCCACTTTTGAAGAAAGTTGTAACCCAAATTTTGTCAACTGTTTGCACAAACTTCTCTTAAGAATTCAAACAAACACTTGGTTGGCCATTGTGTGCTGTGTGGGTTTGATGAATGGGAGTGGGGCTGCAGTAGTCTCCAGCGAAGATGAGGATGCGGGTAGTGGGACATGGAGTGGGTTTATAGTGGTGTTGGTGTGTTACGGTGGAGAGGGGTGTGGGTGGGTGGGTGTGTGTGTGCAAGTATAGCGGATGGGTTTGCGCAGAAGGGGAGATTTGCACAGAAAGGTGAGAGCTTGGGGGAGGGGGGCGGTTGTCGGGGCTGGGTTGTGTAGAGGAGGTGAGATTAGGTGAAGGGCGAGGGTTGGTCACATAAGAGGGAGAGCTTTATTTGGGGTTCGCAGAAGGAGAGAGATGGGGGGTGTTGTCTGCGTGTGTGTGGAGAGAGAGATTCAGAGAAGAGGGATACCTAGTAAAAGAGGAAGGTTGTGGGGGCAGGGATGGTAGCGGTAGGGGTGGCGATGAAGCTAGAGCTGGTGAGAGAGACAGAGTAATCGTTAAAAAAAAAAATGATTTGAAACATAAAACATTATTTTGATGTAAAAAGTATGTGCATTTCTAGAACATAATTCATTAAGACATTTCACCGAGCACACATTAGTACAACAATAAGCAATTCACTCTAGGCAACAAACCACTCATACATGCATTTAAAAAAAAATGTTTATGCAATTAATGATAATGAGCATGAAAATATGAATAATTGAAGCATAAAAAATCAAAAAACAGTTTGAATTCTAACCATATCTAACCCAAGGCTATGACTTTTGTTAAACCTATTGCAACAAAACCACCAAGTATTGCAGGTTGTCATTCTGTTTCCAACCATACATCCAACCTCAACATTAAGGTGCACAACCAACGCCACGCTATTCCAAGAAAGAAATATCCACCAATTATTCCAAGCAACTTCATTTCCTCGCAGAAAAACACCAAGCCAGTGGATCAAAACGAAACAAAACAAATAAGATATCAATAAAGAATGATCAAAAAAAATTACAACTCTTGAAACTAAAAGAATAAAGACCTAAAGCCTTCAGTCACTGAACCTCACACAACTATTTAGCTAGAATTTTTACTCAACTTCAATGATAGATCAAGGAAAATGCTCTAATATCAAAGAAAAATTGTAAGGGTTTTGTTTACCTTTGCTTCCACTTGATGCAGAATCAATCAATGGACCCAAATGCAAAAATCAAGTATTCCATATATTTGTTTTCTATTCCAATAATATCCCACAATCAATCAAACCTAACATGAAAATCCTACAATCATAACAATAGATTTTACACATTTTACTACAATCAAAGCAACATTTTCCTTTATTATTTTCAACTTTCTTCTTCTTATTGGGCAGTATCTGTATTCAGATTTGTGCTTATTTGATCAGATATTGGGCAGTATCTGTATTCAGATTTATGCTTATTTGATCTTGTCTGATTTTGTGTTTTTGTTTTTGGAAGTTGAATTGAAGAAGCCGATCGACTTCCTATTTTTATTCTTATTTTCCCCAAATCATTTTTTGTTGGCATAGGGATCATTTTCCCGTGAGGTCTACTGCCTCTGTGTGTGAAAGAAAAAGAAGTACCTGGACTTCGTCGGCTGTAGATTGATCGGCGGTGGGTTGAGCCATGGCAGAGCAGCGAGAATGAGAGAGACAGAGAGAGGGGGTCTGAGATGGGTCTTCTGAAAAAAGAAAGAGAGAGATAGGGGAGCGTCTGAGAAAGAGTTTGACGGGTTTGGGTAACGTGCAAGTGTTGGGTCACTTTTTAAGTAAGCGGTTTGGGCGGGATTTTTTTTTTTTTTTTCTGTGATGAATTTTTAATCGTTAGATGAGATTAGATGAAATTTGGACCGCTTAAAAAAAATTAAATTTAATTTGAATGTTTTTCAAAGGGACATCGGTGACCGTTGAATGAATTGAAACCACCCTATTTTATATTATAGATATCTATATAATAAAGTAGAACAGAGTTTGAATTTTGGAGACAAAGAGAGGTCGAGATCACTTTGAGACAAAACATAAATATATTCAACAGACAACGTAATTTTAACAAAAAATATGATTCAGATCGTCTCATAAATATTGATCCGATAATCATAATTTAATTTAACTCTAACACTCTTATCTCTCATATAGTTCTCTCTCTTTTATCTCTTAAACATTTTAAACACACTAGCTCATCTCCCCACTCTCTCTATATATCTATATAATAAAATAGAGATGAGTTTAAATTTTAAAATTTATTTTGAATTTTTGTGGCTCAGATCAATTCTGAATAAAAGATAAGTTATATCAAATGGTCTATCTTTTCACTAATTTTTTGTAGCTCAAATCAACTAAATAATATTGATCCTACGGATCAAATTAATAGATGATTTTTGTTTTTTCTCCCAAGCCACTTTCCATTTTTACTTCTCAAGTTTAACGCAACTCCTTCCCCAAATTCACGCCCACAAATATTCATATTTGATTCCTTAATCACATAATATCTTTATTCTCCTTCTTTTGCAGGCATATAGATCATCCCTAATTTCAA